CCCAAAATCCCAGGGGTGCCCCAAAAAAACTCATGAGCACCCCAAAATCCATGGGGCACCCCAAAAAAACTCATAAATACCCCAAAATCCCAGGGGTGCCCCAAAAAAACTCATGAGCACCCAAAATCCCAGGGGCCCCCCAAAAAACTCATGAGCACCCCAAAATCCATGGGGTGCCCCAAAAAAACTCATAAATACCCCAAAATCCCAGGGGTGCCCCAAAAAAACTCATGAGCACCCCAAAATCCCAGGGGCACCCCAAAAAAACTCATAAACACCCGAAAAATCCCACGAGCATCCCAAAAAAAAATCATGAGCACCCCAAAATCCCAGGGGTGCCCCAAAAAACTCATGAGCACCCCAAAACCCCAGGGGCACCCCAAAAAAACTCATGAGCACCCCAAAATCCATGGGGCGCCCCAAAAATCTCATGAGCACCCCAAAAATCCCATGAGTTCCCCATAATCCTATAAGCACCCCAAAAGAACCCCATAAACATCCCAAAATCCCAAAAACACCCCAAAAGCCCATGAGCACCCCAAAATCCCATAAGCACCCCAAAAAAAGACCTACATAAGCATTTCAAATATCCCATAAACACCCCAAAAAACCCATAAAAACCCCAAAATCCCATAAACACCCCAAAAAAAACCCATAAACACCCCCAAAAAACCCCATAAACACCCAAAAAACCCATGAGCACCCCAAAATCCCATAAACACCCCAAAAAAACCACATAAACACCCCCAAAAAACCCCATAAACACCCCAAAATCCCATGAGTACCCCAAAAATCCCATAAATACCCCAAAATCCCATAAAAGCCCCCAGTAGAACCCCGTGTGCACCCCAAAATCCCATAAACACCCCAAAAAAAACACATAAACACCCCCAAAAAACCCCATAAACATCCCAAAAAACCCCATAAGCACCCCAAAATCCCATAAACACCCCACAATCCTATAAACACCCCAAAAAACCACCATAAACACCCCAAAAAATCCCATAAACTCCCCAAAACCCCATAAAACTCCCCAAAACTCCATAGACCCCCCATAAAACCACACAAAAACCCCAAAACCCCACAAACCCCCTAAGAATCCCTAAAACAGCCCAAAAATGAAACCCGCAAAACATAAAAACCCCAAAAACCCTAAAAAATGTCAAAGCCTCCCCAAAACCCAAAAGAAAATCACAAAAAATCCCCAAATCCCAAAAGAAAAAAAAATGTAAAAAAAAAACCCCAAATCCCAAAAGTAAAAAAACCCAAAAAATCCCCAAATCCACCCAAAACCCCAAACCCCCCAAAAAAAAATCACAAAAAAATCCCCAAATCCACCCAAAATTCCAAACCCCCCAAAACCCCCCAAAATACAAATGAAAAAAATCATTAAAAATCCCCAAATCCCCCCAAAACTCCCAAAACTCAAAATAAATTAAAACACATATAAACCCCAAATCCCCCCAAAACTCAAAAGAAAAAAAATCACAGAAAATCCCCAAATCCACCCAAAATTCCAAACCCCCAAAAACCCCCCAAAACACAAATGAAAAAAATTCATAAAAAATCCCCAAATCCCCCCAAAACCCCCAAAA